ATGCTTTGGTCATGCACCCTACATTGTGTTGCTAGATCCGAGTTAGCCGCGAGTAATCGGCCCCCGCTTTACTAACGTTAGTTTTAAGTAATTTTGTACCCAAACGATGAATATCGGCTCCGCAAAGCTACGGCAAATGAGCCTGGAAAAATAAACGCATTTAAAAAAAAAAAAAAGTGCTACTTGTTCGCAACATTTTCTCTTGGCGGGACTCTTATTATAACATCGACTCTGCAGAAAGTATGGACCAACAGATCTGTTCCATAAAAAGGGATAAAGTACAGTGTTGCCAGTAACTTCAATGATCATGAATAGTTCTTACCATCGATGCCAAACTGTGTCAATTAGTGTGCCCATGTGTGCCCAAATCTAATGTTGGCACACTGTACGGATGGGACCAACCCCTTGCTTCCGAAGGAAGGCGTGATCCTCGGTGTGATCAGTTATGTTATGCCTCCGAAAATCCCGGCGGCGCCGACTTAGATTGACCCCAGGCTCTTTGGGGTGAGAGGCAATCACGCTTACCACTACCTCACCGACGCCACTAAACACTGGTCCTTATACCGTAGAAAGAGCTTAGTCTCGGGAGACGAGAGAGGATCCGGAATGGATTCAGAATTTTATTCGGTATCGCCACTTGCGGGCCGTTTTCGGATGAGTTGTGAGGAATAACTGGAGCTTACTCTAATAAAATTGTTATGGTTATTTTGCTTAACGACGTGTTTGGGGTATCATCCAAACCACTGACAAACCGACATGAATGAACATAGCCAAAACAATAAAATATCTGAGCACACTACTGACGTCTGGCTCCGTGTTCGCGGGAAATATTAAGCTAAGCCATGAACCCGCATGCAAACGTTATGAATTGGTTCACGTCTGATCTATTCTGGACAAATTATTTTTATCTAGATAAAAAGTACAGTTTGGATCACTACACATTTAAATCGGCCGTTTACGATTTTCGGGCATAAGTCAGAATTAAGTGTCATGTCGGTTTGTGGGTGGTTCTATTTTTTGGGTTATCGTTCGCTTATAGTTATTTTTTATTAGGGTAGTTCTGCCGCATGTAAACAAGAAGACAAGAAACGCTGAAAATCGTTAACATAAATTATATATTGTTAAAATAAACATGCTTTTGAATTTACTTCAAACATAAATATTTTTGATTTAAATGAACAAAATTCTTTTCTGTGGGCAGAAAAATTTATCGTTGAAACCTCGGTTGAAACAAAAATATAAAATTATAGTACGTTCAGACTACAGAGTTATAACATGTTATAACGCTATCTTGATGGTGGTTTCTGTGTTGCAATTATTTGACAACCGTTATAACATGTTATAACTCTCCAGTCTGGACAGCGTTTTAAACGTAAAATCAGTTTGTTCTGGCCACAAAAATAAACAAGGTTTATTTCAAACGTATTTTGAAGTCCACATGACTGTTTGAAATTAAAATAATGTTACGTTTATTTTAAAAACATTCGTGTTGAAAATAAACGTGAATATTTTTGTTTGGTTTGACAACTATGCGAATAAAAATAAATACAAACCTATTTAATTTTAAATTATATAAGCATTTGAATGTAGGATAAAGCCGAGGATAAAGCAAAAAAATGGATTGCAAAGAGATGAAAAAACGATCTGCATACAGGGCATCTAAACTCCTGCTATTTTTTGGGTGCGATTAAAGGTGGGCTGTGGATGTTGGGTCCTGGTCCGAGATGCGGGGACCCGTCGGGGTGAGTGTCCGGAGGTTCCAGTTCTGTAAAACCAGTGAAACTGTGGGGTTCCTCCGGTTTTATCGAGCTCTAGATCGAGCTGGAACTTTGTTAAGACACTTACCTAGGTGGGTTTCTGGATCCATGTCTTCGGTTTTGTTGCGGGCCGTTTTCATTTGATTGGCAAAGCTGGGTCAATTTTTTTCCGAATTTAAACAGTGAGGGAAAAATGCAGGGCACATTAAAAATCGTTTACCCAAATTCTATACTGTTGAAATAAACATGCTTTTGACTTTGACTTTTTTGAATACCGTATATATATATATATATCTATGCATTGTAAGTATCTGAGTGGTGCGGAGAAACACGAAATGGTTGTCAAAAAGAATCCAACTGGTGCTGTCAAAAAGAATCCAACGATCTAGAGCTGCTAAAAGTGATACTTTTCTCATACAATCCCCGTCGGCAGAGAAAGTATTGTGGTCAATGTTGAAAATATTGTCATTTCGGCATTTTTTTACTAATATTCTTCAACAAAAAACTTGCTCAAATACTCGGATGTAAACAATGTAACGAACGAACGAACCTGCACGAACTGCTGAAGGAAGAATGCAAACAAACTTTATACACACAAAAAAAAGTCATTGCTACAATCAAAAAGATCGTTGCTAAAATTAAAAGTTTGCATTGGTTCTTTTTGGTAGAAAGCGGTTCACTTTTAAAATAAAAGTCAGCCAACTTTCACATTAAGAGTTGCCCGTTTACTACTTTTAAAAGTTTAAAATTTCAAAATAAATTGTACAACTGTCAAATGAAAAGCATTACAGTGTTGGAATTAATACTGGTTTAATTTTGTTTAACAACAAACTTTTTGGCATGAAAGTTTGATACAGTTGAAATGTCATGTCAAAGTTTTCAATTGAAATAACAAAATTTTCATCATAAAAATATTTTTATTTTATTTTAAGTTCTAGTGCTGTGTAAAATTTACAGTTTCTAATATGTAATAGAAAGGTTAATAAATACATTTATTATGCACTGTTCAATAATTTCTAAATCCTCCGATCCAAGAATGCTTGATCGGGCAGCTGCAGCAAACGACGCGCTTTGCGATATTTCCTAGTCCAGACGCCCGTTTATATGTAAATCTGTTTTCCAATGTAAATGTGGATTGCTTAACGAACGGGCCATTTCCACCGAATTACTGGCCACTTTCAGATGCGCATAGGAATGTTTCCACTGGGGATCCAACGAGGGATCTAATGGATACGAGAAATTGTTCTGGATAAAAAAAAAAACAAGGGGAAGATTTTACTTCAGATAATTTATTTTCAATGCGTTATGGTGCCTATACTTACTAATATTTTATCCGCAATCCGGCAGATTGTCTCGAATGTGGTGTGTTCGAGCGACTATGCTTCCTCTTATTAAAATCCCGCTACATGTTCCTATTTTTGATGGATGGCGGAACTTTCCACAGGTCCAAACACTCAAGCCGGTAGATAAAATTGTCCACATTAAATCGGTTTAAAAATAACGTTTCAGGCCGCATTCGATCGCCGTGAATGAATAATTACGTGGTCTTCCATTTGTGAATTGAAACAGATGGAATTGGGGCACATTTTACTAACGGAATTGAGGCAAACGTTTGCTAAACTCATTTGATCCCTATACACGCTATACACACGTGACTGTTTTCGCTCTTTATGCACTCACACTATTCTAAAACTACTCATAAATGAGTAGAAGTCCACCCAATGAAGAAGTGATTTTGACAGCTCAACAATTTTCGATCTGAAAATTTGCACTTTCAGAACTACAAGACAAAAACATAACATTTACTTTTAAATTGAAAACTACCTAGTTGTATTAAATGTTGTCATTGCTAGATTAACGAATTAGTGGATACTTTTAAATTGAAAGGTCAGTATTTTTAATGATACAATTTTTGTTTTTTGTGTGTAAGAGTCATGTGGGTAGGTGCACTCCCAACACCATGTACACGTTATTTATGGAGCAAAGGGTGAACTTTCGACAGCATGTATATGCAAATTGTGAGCAGTGCATTAGCAAAACAATTTGTGATATCGGAAAATTTTCAAGTTGTTTCCTGCTGACTTGCAAAACAAAAACGGCTGTGTTCGCAGTACCCAGGTAAGTATATTTCGATTTTATACCACCGACAAACCGACATGAATGACCATATATACAAAGTATCATCAAATTTCTGATCAAAGCACAAAACTGACATCTGCCGCCGTGTTCGCGAAAAATGTGTATCCTAGCCATGAACACGCATACATAATGTATGAGCTGGTTCGTGTGGGCAAATTATTTTTATCTAGATAAAAAATTTCTATGGTTTTGACAGATGGGATCGCTGCACATTTGAATCCGCCGTTATGGATTCTCGATCAAGATTTAAGTTTAAGTTTCATGTCGGTTTGTCGGTATTTATACAATGGCACGCAAAAAAACATTTTTATGCTAAGTTTGCATTCTCTCCTTTTATACCGACCGTTCACAGCAAAAAAAAATGTAATATCGATCAATGTAATTCAAGCTGATGTATGAAATAATGATGTAATAGCAAAAAGCAGATACAATATTACATCAATGGATGTAATTTTGTTCGCAAAATCGATGTACATCGTGCAACGTTATATTACACAACCGATGGATTGGCCTGGTTGCAGCAGTTTGGATGTAATATTCAACAACTTTTTTTTCTGTGTTGTATCGGCACGGAGAGTTGCGATTTAGCCGATTTTACGTAACTTTTATACTATTTAGATTTCCATATTTTTTGAGTGCAGCAAAATTTTGCTGGTTTCCAGCGAAATAAAAATTGGGTACACGCTGTTTCAAAACTTCCCAAATTTGGGTAGAATCCACCCAGATCGGTTCAAACTAAACCCAAAAATGGGTAAACTTTGTTGTTATAAGTTACAACTTGACAAATGAACAACATCGACATGAATCCGATCGACGTTGTTAATTTGTCAACTTGTCACTCCCAACATAGTTTACCCATTTTTCGGTAGGTTCAGTTTTGATCTTTCTGGGTGAATTTTACCCAAATTTGGGGTGTTTTGAAATATCGTGTATTTTGCGGGTATCCGCGCCAAAATTCAGATAAATCCGCCACGTGGGATCTCGGTTTGATTTCTCTGAGTGCTTCTCACATCTCACTCACTCGCTAATATTTTTTCTCGCAGTTCACGTTCCATTTCCATTCGTCCGTCTTCGTCATTCGTCCATTCATTGTTAAAGCAGTTTGTCGATGTGATTTATACGCAGTGCAGTGAAGTTTTTCAAGTGTTAATTTCTCGGTAAAAAATAAATTTTCATTCGCGGAAATATCGTTAAACGATAACGCGTTAGGTAAGTTATATAGGAAGAATGGAATTCGTCGGTTGGGAAAGTGATAATTGGCAGGAATAGTCGTTTGAAAAAAATGAATTTTCTTTACCCTGGTCGCCATCTTGATTTTGTATTTTTCTTTCTCGTGTACCTTCAGGGTTGAAATTGCTGAGCGCTAGCGCTACGCAGTTAGAAGTGTTTGGTGTCACCGTGTGATGAGTGGTGATACAGCCGTAAGTACCGCGTTGCCCGTAAGTTGCATGAACCTGCAAGACAAGTCCATCAACAATTCTCCGCCGAACGGATTTTCCGGAAACAATCCGTACGGGATGGCATACCAACAGTATGCGCAGTACTGCAATGCATACTACCAGCAGTTGCAGTTCAATTCCGGGGGGTCAATTCCTACCAATGTTCCGCCTCCGCCGCTTTCGACAGCAGGAGCGGGTGCCGGCGGCTCTCCCGGTGGTAACGCTCCACCAGGCTTTACCAGTGCATCGATGTCAGCAGTCGCGAATGCCGGAGATGGCCAATCCGAATCATCGTCGCCGTCGTCAGGTAGTTTAATGAACAAGTCATCATTTTTTAGCTCTCCACATCAACAGCAGCAGCAGGAAGGAAACATGCCGGGATTCAAACAAGCGCCGAGTCAGTTCGGACCGATTCGTTTCAATATCAACAAACAGCCGCAAAGAGTGAGCCCACTGGTTCAAAGCAATCCGTTGACAAATGGAATCCCGCAACAGCAGCAGCAGCAACCACAACCACAACCACAACAACATCCGAATCAACAGTCGTTCAATCAGAATAACCCGAATAACCAGATGAGCAAGCGGAAGAAGAAGAAGAACAAGAACAATATGAATAACAACATGGCAAATCAGGCTCAGAACAAGCAGATGTTCAACAATGGAGGTATTCCGCCATTGATGCCGCCGAGTGGAGGTGCAAGCTTTCCTCCACCGGTGCAGGTGCCTGATTTGAGTAAGCCTCCGCCACCAATTCCCGCCCAGCCGGGTATTGGAGGAACCATCAGTACCATCATTCCCCCACCGCCAGTTTCGAAGAAGCCTGATCCCTTCAACAACCCAACCGACGCTTGGCCGGAAAGCTTGAACAACTTTGTCGCGCGCTGTTATGCCAAATGCAAGACAGATTTCGATAAAGATCAGATCGATATTTGCCTTAAAGGGCGTATCACAGCTGCAGCGAACAAGGGTGAACTGTGGACAAAAGACTGGGACAACGAACCGGTGCCAAGTGTGCACAGCGAACGTGCCCTGTTGAATATGAATAACAAGTCCAAACAGTCGGGAATCGTCGGAAGCATCAGTCAGTATCAGAACAACAATAGCAACAACAACAACAACAATAACCGTAGAAGTAGCAGTCCGTCCAATGGATTCGGCCGAACTAGTCAAAACTTTGCGCAGAGGAAGAGTAGTGGTGGCATTGCAGCGGGAATTTCCCATTCGCTTGGGTCTCGCCTGGGAAACAAGTCCGGATCGAAAAAGTCTCGTTCGTCTCGTTCGCATTCCCGATCTCCCTCAAGCCGTTACAGTCGAAGCCGACGTAGTCATTCTTCCAGTTCGGAATCGCGATCTCCTCGCCGTAAGCGTCGCTCGTCCGACAGCAGTGAAGACAGTCGCAACTCCTCCGGAAAGTCGTTCAAGACCAAAAATCAGAAACCAAATCAGAAAAATCACAAGTCCAACAACAGCAATAATAAAAATCAAAATCAGAAAAGATCCGGATTCTATTCGGAGCATGGTCAGATTGGTGGCGCTGTAGATGGTGATCAGGAAGCGCTGAAGAAACGTGCAGCCCGGTTCAACAACTCCACCGCCAAGAAAATCTCGCCTCCCAGCTTCGCTTCGTCGCCGATCAAGAAACGTCTCCAGATGCCCACGCCGTCCCGATTGTTTATCGATGATGCCGCCGGCGATGGGGACGGCGGGCTGGATCTGTTCGACCTGCACATCGTGGGAACGTGTCGGGATATGGAAAAGAGCTTCCTGCGACTGACGAAAGCCCCCGCTCCATCCGAAGTGCGACCCGTGGAAGTTTTACGCTATTCGTTGCAGAACGTGAAGAACAAGTGGGTCGATAAGCAGGATTACTACTACGCATGTGATCAGCTGAAGTCCATCCGACAGGATTTGACGGTGAGTTGGCAGGATGTTAGTGTGTGGTTTTGGAGGATAATGCAGGATTTCCTTTTTTTTTTTGATTCTGTAGGTCCAGGGCATCCGGGACGAGTTCACCGTGCAGGTCTATGAAACGCACGCCCGCATCGCCATGGAGAAGGGTGATCACGAGGAGTTCAACCAATGTCAAACGCAGCTCAGGATGCTGTACTCCGAGGTGGGAGGCGAGAATATATTGGAGTTCATCGCTTACCGGATTCTGTACTACATTTTCACCAAGAACACGCTCGGTCAGTACACTCAATAGCGCGATCATTGCATTAGGATTTCTTTATTTTAAATCATTTCCAACAGATCTGACCACCATTCTGAAAGCCCTTACCGCGAAAGAACGGGAACATGAAGTGATAATCTTTGCTCTCAAGCTACGTTCGGCCTGGGCCCTGGGCAATTACAGCAGATTCTTCAATCTGTACCGTACAGCCCCACTGATGGCCGGTTATCTGATTGATTGGTTTATCGAGCGTGAGCGCAAGTTCGCCTTAAAAAACATTATCAAAGCGTACGTATTGTTGTGACCTCTGTCCCTGACCTACCTTTGTGGCGTTTAAGTTCTCCTGACGAAAGAGGACGGCGACGACCAAAGCTAGGTTTCTAGGTTATTAGGTTTAGGAACGTCGTTGCTGGCTGAATTCGTGGGATTCGAGGGATATTTCGGGAACGTATTTTTCGAGCTCATTTTCTTTTTCTAGGTGGACAGCCCTCCCCCAAGACGTGGATCGATTTACCCGTTTCCTATATTATTAGATTTCTCTTTCTCTCATCCAATTGTTCTTGTTCAACAATAATTTATTTACTATCTATTATCATATTTAGTTATCGTCCCAATTGTCCGGTGGACTATGTCAGTCAAGCGTTGGCCTTTGAGAGTGTGGACAAATGTTTCGACTGGTTATCGACGTTCGAATTGACCTTTGTTACCAAGCAAGAAATGATGGCCCCTGGCGTCTCGGAGGATGGTGCTGCTGCTGCTGCTGCTGTCTCTAGGAGTGTTGTGACGAGATTCATCGACTGCAAAACCAGCATGAATGTGTTGACCAACTTCTAAGTCAATCCTCCTTCCGTCAGCTGAACAAAAAACACACGAAGGAGCCTCCTTCGTAATCCACGGGCGCGTCATTGTCCTCCTCGTCGTTGACCTGGCTATCCGCTCTCTCACTCGACTGACTGCCCTGTTTCGTTGATCAGTTCGATTCGTTTGCCATTTTCGGATTCGCTACACGGAGGAAGAAGCCTTTGCCAGGTCTGTGAAAGTACAACCATTAGCTGACTGAGGAAGGGGACGGGATTCGTTTTAGAATTCCTCTCCGAGCAAGTGGATTGGATGCGCTGGGATTGCTGAAGCTGAAGGAGGTGGTTGGCCATCGAGGAAGAAGATCGAATGTGTTTAAGTGTTGCGTAATTATAATTTAATGAACTCTGTCGATTTGCACGGAAAAGAAATGAACTTTGAGGACGGCGACGGCGACGAAGTGCCCGTACGTTAAGCCTTGTGGGGATCGTCATCGGAGGATCCGGATACCTGGACGTAACGCGAGGGACGAGGATGGATCGAACGCTCGAGGATTCACGGAAGATCAAGAGCAGCCAAAGTCTGGAAGATATGGGCAACGGACTTGCAGGAAGCCCGGTGTATTCACCACTAGTTCACCCGAACGAACCCGAAAGTCAAGGATCTCGGGCTGCCTAACTAAGCAATTGCCAGGCATGAATCGGAATGGGGACAAATTGGATGCGAAGATAGGAGCCAAAATGAAACAATTCCATGTCAATGCTACCTATTCAAGCTACCTGATAAACTGATACAACGTCCAACATCGATGTCAGCTACTTAATCGAGTTGGACCACTTTCGGGTACCCATGGATGTACGGGATATTCCTCCCGTTCCCGAGAAATTGCTGCTCTAGGACCACTGGACGGAAACACTACCCTACTAAGATCCTACCACAAGGCTAGCGGCTCTGTGCAGAACATCGATCGGATCATTGATTAGCGCGACGCGTGTGTATGTGGGAAAGAATTTGTTCAATGATACTGATACAGGAACTCTACCAATTGCATCATCGCTCTTCCGAAGGAAACTTTGGGAGAGCGCCGTGCTTGTAAATATTGACCCCATCGGTCTGCCAACTTATCATAATCTCAAGTGTAGTGAAAAAAAAAACAACTTTAGCTTTAATTTAGTGAGAAGAGGATTCAACTGAACTTACCGAGTGCCTAGGTGTAAATATTTGAAAAATGAACTGATCTGCTAGGAACAATTTTACTAGTGCTCGAAGATGGGGTTTTCCGGTTGCATTTTTGATTTTACACGTGTCGATGTCCCCCACATTGGGTCGATGGGCATCCAAGGTGATCGGGGAAGAATTTGCAGGTCAAGCTGAGGCCCGTCAACAGAAGCTAGCACTGAACGATCAACGCCTGATCGATGTGCACTCCTACTAAGGCAGTGGGTTAGGTTACTGAAAGAAACATTCATTTTCCTGAACATCCCAAATCAATCCATCCGTAAGCAGTGCAACATCCCTTTCCTTACGATCCCATCTAAGCAACTCTGAACAATCCTGTCTTCAGCCAATCCCATCCTACGTCGATTCCCGTCCCAATTTGAACCATAACTTGTCAAGTCGAAAACACGAAATGGGAAGCACCTGGACCGTGAACCACAATGCTGCCAAGCAACTAGCGGCTGTGAGGAGGAACTGAAAGAAAAACCTGGACTCTATTTCAATCAGTTATTTTTTTTTGTTTTGCTTTAGTTTGGTTTTTATCATCGTTTGTTTTTTTTTTCCGTTAACTAGTTGTAGTTGCAAAATATACGATTTTTAATTAAAGAACCTGCTAGAATGCCAATTCCTGCGTAGGCCAATGAAAGTCAGAGCATCTATTAATTTCGTTAAAGGAAGGTCACCCCGGCTCCCTTCGAGAAGTAGCATTGGACCGTTCGATCCGGATGAGATTAAATAAATATTCGTCATGATTAAAATTCTGTTCAGTTGTGTTGGTGTTTTTGAGAAAATCCGTTTCCTATTATGTTTGGGTGAGGTGAAATGTCTTACAGCGATTTTTTGTTTGTTTATTATCCGTGTGCGAAACAAGCAGGACGTCGTTATCTTCTACCAGAACGCCGGTGGAATGAATTCTGATGTTGAAGAGTACCGACTAAAGCCTTGCCAATGGATCAATGAAAATACTGAGATTATGACCGGCTACCACAGTATTTTACATTTGATCGTCCATAAACAGTTGCGCCAAAAGCATGCACCCCCTTATTCTGCGAGTCACGTGACTCTCTGTCACCGGTGAGGTGACAATTGTCACCTCGTGTGGGGTGACTCCATGTAAATCAAATGGAGAGTCACCTCACCGGTGAGAGAGAGTCACGTGACTCGCAGAATAGGGGGGGCTGTGGTGGGTTCAAAACTTTTCCTTTATTTAACGTCGGTCTCTGTTCCGCAATCTAGTGCCAATCACCGACGGACATCGATTGGTAGCTTCCACACCTGCGTGGATATCGCACCAATTCAACACACATGGGCCGGGACCAACGGCTTTACTTCCCTTCCGAAGGAAGACGTGACCAGAGATTTTTATGGCTCAGAAAAATCCCACCGACCTCGGCTGGGATTGAACCCAGGCCCATTGGGGTGAGAAAGCAGTCACGCTTACCACTACACCACCGGCGTCGGCTCAATGGTTCAAAACTTGACCATCTAAATTGATCAATTTCCACGCGATGGAAGAATAAAGAAGAGAATTGATTCTGCACAAGGATCGCAAAGGAGTTGAAAATGGCCAAAACCACCATCTGTGCAGTACTCAAACGTGTCAAGAAACGTTTTTCTGTTTCCCGGAAGGCGTCGAAGCGGTACAGTGGACCGGAAACTGCGTCAGATCGTCATGAAGGCTTTCAAAGCGAATCCAGGACTTTCGGACGTGGATGTGGTCAACAAACTCGGTGCTGTTCGCAGTACAGTTCGGAATATACGCATTCGGGAAGGTTTCTTTAAGTATCGGGCTATTAAGCAACCGCACCGGACCGTTAAGCAAAACGCGGGCCCGAAAGCTATATAACCAGGTGCTAGCCAAATTCAACGGATGCATCAACCGGTGGAAACTAACGATTTAAAATTGGCTCACTACTTGATTAGCCTATTGGTCCCAAGCAAATCGATTAACGTACCCCATTCCAGTCGAAATTCTACTGTGTTACCTGACTTATAACGAATATACGTTGTATACGAGTACCCCGGATACAACGTATAGTTCGTCTAATTTTACTTTGGTTTCCCATCCACAAAAAGGAAGCAAACGAGCTGAGGATAACTATCGAGGAATTACATCGTTAAGTGCCGTTTCGAAGTTATTCGAGCATGTGATTATGGAAACGTAGCTGTCCCATTGCAAGCATTATTTGAGGGCTATCAACATGCTGTGTTTCACAGAGTATATTCCCGAAAGCATGTTGGATTCAGACCTACCGCAGCATTCGACAAGTTACTAAACGATTGCTAAATTCGGCAGGCTCGGTGTATGCGGTAATCTTCTGAGTTGTTTTCGATTGTATCTTATCGGTCACCAACTAATGGTTGCCATAGGAGATTGCAGATTAGCTAGCTTCTTCGTCATATCAGGTATACCTAAGGGAAGCCACCTGGGATCGTTGATTTTTCTACTGTACTTCAACGACGTGCATCTGGTCATTGAAGCTCATCGGTTATCACAACAATCAATACGAAACTAACGATTTTAAATTGGCTCACTACTTGACTCGCATATTAACCACTTCATTCGAGCAGTTAAAATGACATTTACTACCACTCGAACTTTGAAATAAAACATTATTTTTAGATTTTTTCTTCTAGAACCTCGAGAAAAGTAGCCAACATTTGTGCGTTTCATAAAAAATAGAAATTAGTTGGTCCAGTTCTGTGAAATCGCTGGTAGAAAGTCAAGCCAAAACTGCTTGACAAAGTGGTCAATTGGTCCCAAGCAAACGATCAACGTACCCCATTCTTGTCGAAATTCCAGTACTACACTATGTTTGTTTTGATTTGCTATGAAAGTTTGACAGATAAAATGAGGGGTTAGTGGATTTTCCTATGTTTCGAGGGGTGAATCGATTAGCTTGGGACCGAAGAAAGTACCAGCACAAACGAAGTTACAGACGGAGCGGCTCGAAAACTTTGGTGACTATCGTGCTATTTCAATTTTTCAGTGTACCACATGGCAACACCACTACTACCATAGAGATTGCTAAAGTATGATCAACAATCAATACGAAACTAACGATTTTAAATTTGCTCACTACTTGACTAGCCTATTGGTCCCAAGCAAATCAATTAACGGATCCCATTCTTGTCAAAATTCTACTACTACACAATGTTTGTTTTGATTCGCTATGAAAGTTTGACAGATAAAATGAGGGGTTATTGGATTTTCCTATGTTTCGAGGGGTGAATCGACTAGCTTGGGACCGAAGAGAGTACCAGAGCTGAGCCAAAAAGTTGAGCACGTTTCTTCGGGACCTACTAGTCTTAGAGTTACCTCTATGGTATGATTGTGTCAGTGATTTGTTTTCATCGGGAAAATTTTCCGCTATGAAATTTTTTTTTCCCGATGAAAACATTTTGCGTTTACGTATACGTAACGTAGTGTGCGTACGATAAACGTCAGCAACCTCTATAGAGGTAACTCTAAAGGGCCACCCACATTAGATCCATAGAGGTAACTCTAAGACCACTGGGTCCCGAAGAAAATCATTATTATTTTTGGCTCACTCAGTACCAGAACAACGGTCCCAAGCAGTCCCAAGCTATTTCACTCACCCCTGCATGTTCTGCATGAATCCACACACCCCTGATGTTATCTGTCAAACTTTCATAGCGAATCAAAACAAACATAGTGTAGTAATAGAATTTCAACTAGAATAGGGTACGTTAATCGTTTGCTTGGGACCAATAGGCTACTAAAGTGGTGAGCCAATTTAAAATCGTTAGTTTCGTATTGATTGTTGTTAGATCCGTTTGCGTTGCGTTGACGTAAATTTGACAGTTAGACAATAGATTTATCTGTCACTTTGCCGCAACGCGTCCGATCCGGATCTAATGTGCGTGGGCCTTAAGACTAGAAGGTCCCGAAATAACGTGCTCAACTTTTTGGCTCAACTCTGGTACTCTCTTCGGTCCCAAGCTAATCGATTCACCCCTCGAAACATAGGAAAAACCAATAACCCCTCATTTTATCTGTCAAACTTTCATAGCGAATCAAAACAAACATTGCGTAGTACTAGAATTTCAACTAGAATGGGGTACGTTAATCGTTTGCTTGGGATCAATAGGCTAGTCAAGTAGTGAGCCAATTTAAAATCGTTAGTTTCGTATTGATTGTTGCTCGTTGTTGCTACTACTGTGCTACTACGAGCGAACATTCACTATTCTCAACCCGTATCCATTGTGCTTTTTGATCTGGACATTTTTTTTAAATTTGAACCCCCCTAATCTGCACGCCATGCAAACTAAAAATTGCTCAAACGTCATTCAGCATATGGAATGGAGGAAACCGCAATGGAACAATGCGAAACGGAACGCAGAATTAAAACAAAACAGCAAATAAGGCTACCAGAAAGAAACATGTTTTTTTTTATAATACTGATAGGGTTACTAGAAGTGCAAATTAAAAATGAACCTTGTGTCGTTCAGATTAGCGGGGGTCCACGGTATCAAAGTAATATATTTAAAAAAACGAAAAACGAAAGCGATTTTGTGGAAGAATCCCAATCTTTTATTAGAAAAATCCCAGCATAGGCGGTCCCCCTAATAACGATAGGTACAATGATGTAACCATAAAGCAGTAATACAGATGGAAAACAAATCTTTAAACTTAACCAAATCACTTCGATGGTGGTTTTGAATTTTCTAGCACATTGGCAATATCCTCATAGGCACTTCTCAGGCAGTCTACGAACTCTCGCCCGTTTCGGTCCGGTTTATAATTGGTCACAACGCTGCCCAGGAATCCATCCTGAATGTTGTAACCGATACCATAACCATCTCTTACCACCGGTCCAAACCCTCCGGCCAGAAGTGCCGGCGAAGAGAGCGTACTAGTCGAAAGGATATTGTAATTCATCGCTGCATAGGCCGGGTCTTCGAAAATACAGGGCATCGGAATGTCGTTCATTTGGGCAGTGTGACGCAAGCCGAACAGGTGCCTGTCGAAACCCTGTCCCATGGCTGCATCTTTCGTCAACTGGCCATGAACGGTGGAACAAGTATCCATCATGGTTCGCAATTCGCTGTTCGAGGGCTTATTCTGCTTCCGTTCGATCGCTTCGCAAAACTCTTTGGTAGCCGTCGTGCAGGGACGCATAGTTTCCGTACGCCCATGGCGGAATGCGGCGGTACTACAAGACTCGTAGGTTGCTACGAATTTGCCGTGTTGCTTATAGAAGGCCAACTGGAATCCCAGCTGCATCACCGAATCCGGACTGATTCGCTGCTTCTTGCAGATATTTTTGTTGATTCCTTCGTACTTCATGTAGTTCATGTCGAGCGCATCGATTACCGAGTTGTGATGATTCTGAGCCATTATGATGCCATCCCGAATTCGGTCATCTAAATTGAACTCGATCAATCGTACCACATCTTCACAACGGTTGGCGTCCTTAGGCTGTAAGTTTGGATCCACAAAAGGAACCTTGGTAGTTTCCTTGTAGATTTCCTGGAAGTATCGCAACACGGCGACCCCATCACCCCAGGAGTGTTCAAAGTTGATACCCGCAGTTCCATCCTTGGATACGATCAACGAAAACGATTTATCAAACCAGCGGTTGGTACCGTCACCGAAAAGGAAGTCCCTAATCATGGGAATGGGATGTTCCGGATCGATGGTGCCATTATCCAGGCAAAGACAAAACAGGGCGGAATCGACAGTTCGAAGTGCCTTTTCGTTCCCGATTTCACTCAGATGATAACGAATTTTAGCCCACGTGTCCCGGTTTTCGGTGGTTAGCAGCCCTAGTGGATTGTCGGTTGGTGGTCGATTGTCATCCAGGATGTGTTTAAAGCGCGCCAATAAAGTTTCCGGTTGTTCGATGTTACCTAAATACATTTATGGAAAGTTAAACCACTGAATTTATGTTGCTTAATGTACTTGCCTACCTGCTTCGTCCAGCACATCCACCGAGTACATGTGTCCATTACGGATTACCAGTAAGTGACGTGATTTCTCGATCCTGTAGATTCTGTCTTTGCCCGTCTCAGGAATCCTGGTAGATCCAAACAGTCCCTGATACTGGCTCATATCCAATGGGAAAGCCTTGAACGCATAAGCCACGTAAGTCGACACGAAGGACGGCATCATCGAGGTAATGGTCCTAAACATGTGGGTATCGCTTTTGGCCGGATTTAGATGGAACACTTCCGGCTCTAGAAGATGGGCTCGAAGGGATTTCATAAAACGAAGCGAACTGACCACCAGATTGGTTGTTCGAATCAGCTGATCGTTGTATTCGGGACGTGAATCTGGATTCATCATCAGCAGGGGATTGTAGTTGATTGGTAGTGGACTCCGATCACGGAGGTACATATCGAACCATGGCTCGGAGATGTAGCTGGTGTGCTTGTTTTGAGAATCTTTCTTTTTGAGCAGCTCCTGCAGTTTGGGTCCCGTCGTGGTCATGAAGCGATCAACGTTATCTTTCGTCTTTCGAAATGCTTCATCGATAAGGAGAGGCCTCTGAGCCGCTAGATAACGCTCGCATGTCTTTTCCAATGCCGGAATCGGGAGCCTTGGCAGCGAAGGCTGGAAATGCAGCATGGGGATACGAGTTTTCTGCATATATTGGTAATCATCTCCGGTAGTTGTTGCCTTTCCCCGTTGGAAAATGAACAGTGGACTGCGCGAAATTCGTAGCATACTTAAATTGGATCTGCAAAGAAACACAGGTCAATATAAAGATTAACACTGATTGAACACAATCATTGTGGTACTCACTGCACTTCACCACAAAAATGACTGTCCCAGTGTCTGTGCTGTGTGGAAGTGAGACTGAGATCAAAGTCCAACACAGAGATTTACTTTGGAATAGATAAGGGATGGATTTTTTCTTTAGCTAGTGACTAGTCCTCTTTTGATATAGGTACCTAATGGTTAAACAAATTTCGGCCTTTGCCAATTAGTTATACGATTTTGTTAAATAATAGATTAACTAAACACAAAAGCTACATAAAAATACAAGAAAACTTGTGCACCGTCATCACAATCGACACACAATGAAAATTAATACGAAAGTTCATAACAGCAAAATAATATTCTCATGTACGAATGGGCAAGTGAAAACAAAATAGGGGATAAATAAAAACGAAAGCTTTCAAAAGTATTTCAACTGACAGCATCTGCGAGCCCACTGAAGTTGACAGTGATGTTTTAAGTTTAAATCTCGCGTCTTTTTTCAAAAGGTCCTACACGGATAGAAATCCCCTTATACCACCGACAAACCGACATGAAACTTAAACTTAACTCTTGATCGAGAATCCATAACGGCCGATTCAAATGTGCAGCGATCCCATCTGTCAAAACCATAGAAATGTTTTATCTAGATAAAAATAATTTGTCCGAAATAAATTAGACACGAACCAACTCATAAATTTTGTACGCGTGTTCGTGGTTAGGATAAATATTTACCGCGAACACGGCGGCAGATGTCAGTTTTGTACTTTGAGCAGAAATTTCTTTGTAATTTGTATGATCATTCATGTCGGTTTGTCGGTGCTTATACCTTTTGGCAAACTTCTATCCATCTTTCCATCAACCAGTCCGCACTCGTGTTTATTTCAGTTACCATGGGGACGTAATTTGTGATTAACCCCGGTCCATTTCAAATTGTATCATTATTTATGTACGGCATAAATTTGAAATTACTTTTCACATTCATCTAGTGATGGCCGATTTTCATTCGAATAATCGATTAATCAATTAATCATGTTTTGTTGTTTTTTACATCATCCACATCCAGAGGGCCAGTCACTTCGAATGTATGGGAATGGTAGGAAACCATTTGGAAATGCATGAAAATTTTCAGTTTTTATTCATTATCGTCTTAATGGGCAGTTTTAAATGCACAAAAATTGCACGAGTACATTACTATGGTGATAAGGTAAACACTCGTTTATTTGTTTCCTTCTGTGAAAGCATGTTTAGTCACAAATCGTGGATTTTCTGATATTCTCCATACTGCAAAAATGAGAGGCGACATCTCTCGGATCTTCAGTGTAGCTACTACTCAAATCATATAATTAATTAACGAACCGAAAAGTAAAATATGTGTAATCATGCCGATATAAGCATTAACTTCTCCAGAGGATCATCACCAATCGTTTCAAATATATGCTGCACTCTCATTGGTGGAAAAATGACAGCACAGCGAACAAAAAATATTCGATTAGTTGTTAATCGAATAATTTAAAAAAAATGGGACATCTCTGATTTTTGTGTGACTGTTTTGATAAAAAAGAGCGCAAAATTTCATCTCTACCGAGGGGGCAGCAAAACCACAAAATTACCTTGTGTAGTATTCATTAGAAATAGTCAAAGGGAGAGATAGGCGGAGAAAACAAAATACAATTCGGCAGCAGGGATTTGTTCCTAAATTATCTTGCAACCCTTGCTAATATTTCAAATGACTTTTATTTTTGATTCGATTTACGAGAAAAATAATAATTGATTGCATCGCAATATTTTGAACATTTCTTGTTGCCATTCATTAACCAACGAAGATCAATTAATCAATAGAGTTAGAATATTGTTTTTGGTTCAATTTGAGAAGCACACACTTATAAATTATCACCGACTTCGGTAATTTTTACCGAAATCTGAACAGCTGAACTGTTCGGTAAAATTTATGCAATTCAATTCAATTGCTTTTCAGCTACTTTGAAACTAAATCTCCACTAAAATGACAAGATTTGATCATTTAAACAAGGTTGAACATGTTTTGAAACTATTTTCAAATTCAATAGCCTTTAAAATGAAAGTCAAAATTTTACCGAACGTTCAGCTGTTCTGATTTCGGTAAAATTTACCGAACACGGAACCAAAATCTTAGTGTGCACACAAAACATAAAGGTGATTGAATTTCTGTTCGATTGCAATACTCTCAAATTTATTCTAGTAAGAATAAGAAATCATCGGAAAAACTCTAATTAATCATTTTGTCAAGCTTCTGCATTCATGTTCCATCAGATATCACTACTGTTGTTTGCAGTGACATCTATCGGAAACTACACACAATCTGTTTTCCTATAATTGTTCACAGAGGACACTGCAGTGCAAAACATGTCTGGTACCTCTATATATGCATCCTTTTTCACACATTCTGCACACAAAATAGCTCACCCCTCACAGAATTTCCCGCCGAATTTTATGTATGGGGCGGGGCATAAAGTATCTTTTGCGCAGAATATGTAAAAAAGGAGGGACTTCAAATGTTAAAGCAAATGCATATATAGAGGTACCAGACATGTGTTGTAGTGTCAGGTACTCTATTTTGTAATCTTTGAAAGGGAAATCACAAATCGAGTGTCAACAAAATACATGGCATGTTGAAAGATTGAGCACGTGAGAGAGAATTTCTCTCTCAAATTTGAATTTTTTTTGGCTCTCTGGGGACTGGTAGTAAAGCAGGTAAAATTGTATGGGGAAAAATCATTTTTATTTAATTGTAGCTTGTTTAACATTAATTTCCGGGAAAAAACTGAACGAGAAAGCCCCTGACTAATTTCTTTAGGTTGTCGTTCACTTTTTTTGACCTGAATATGCACCGAAAGCGAATTATTCCCACTTCTCTCAATTTTTATATGGGGATTTTTATCACTTCCTACCAGCGGAACAGCGCCATCTCTGTGGAAAATGGTCGAACAAAATGATTAATTGGAATATTCGATTGGCTCAGATTTTGACAGTTCATTTGGCTCAAAACATTCTCTCCGCCCATCTCTCCCTCTGAGTATTTCTCGCGTCACTTTTCAAATAGACCAATGTAACATATCCACCATTTTGAGAAAATCGAAATTGAAGTTCGACAGATTATTATTTAAACTGTTTAAAAACAATAAATTTTGCAATACTATTTTTAATGTAGTCAGTGTATAATAACGTTGAAAATTCAGAAGAAACGGTAAAATCACAATTTTACTTTGAATTTCATGCTACAACATAGAACAAACCACATAGGACGTTTTGACAAGTCGAGTTGTACATCGGACATGTTACATTGGACGGTTTTTCTCAATGACATGACAATTGACAAAGACAATCAGTGTTACATTGGACGTTTTGTCTTCATGATACTAGATTCCCTTTCACAGATTTCAGAGAATAGTACCTAACTTTAGATTGGCCCCGCCTTTGGAAAATGAGCACCAATCATGTTAGGCAGACCGAATGACCGAAGTAACAATCATATACCCATAATTTCAAACTGTACATTGGACAATTTTTGATCAATGATTATTTTAAATAAATGAAAGTAAATTTGGATGGATGTTTTTGTATCACATACAATGATTGGCGTCTTACAGTGAAACTTTTTCAAGCTTTCGCCACCTACATTTTGAAGTGTGAACTACTAGAAGGAGGATAGTTTCCAAATTTTCCAAGTAAAACAGACGATTTTTGGGCCAAATCGGTCCATAAACAAAAACTAATAATTTCCCGTGGAAACTTTTGCTTGAATCGTGTAAGAAAACGTGTTTGCAAACTAACTGTTATTATTTCGGTATGGATCGGAGATATTTTCATGGAAAATTATGCATAACAAGTTTCCACCCACAGGTAGAGATTTCCTCCTGCGCAGCTGCATTTTTCGGAAAATTGTTAATATGTGAGATTTCCACTAAGATGAAAGTGGGAATTAAGTGAATTTACTTAGGAAAATTTGGTTCATGCTGGTGATAATGGAGAATTGTTTGTATAGGACGCCAATATTCAAACGTACAAACATATTGATACTCACAATTTTTGACGGAAAACGCAACGGAACTTGATTTACTCAACACGCATCATACTATAAAATGGTGCTAGATGGTTTTCGAAGTGATAACAAGATGACAAATTATCTTTATTTTGAGTAAATGAGCAATTTACTTCTGTTTACATCATATTTACGATGCAGCATTGATGGAGCCGTGAAATGATATGAATATATCTTATGTAAGTTCATCTGGAAAAGTCAAAGATGCACATCAGTCTGATCGTAAAAACGTTTTCTTCTTCAATTCGAATGTCATATTGGAAGGTTTTTACGCAGGCTTGATGAAAATTATGATTAAATGCTAATTTTCACGAATTTTATATGCAGTCTGTCAACATTATCATCATCATGCAGTGGTGACATCTGCGTTGAGCTTTTACGGCAATCTTCCAATAGAAGAGCAATAGTTTGTATCGCTTAATACCACAGACAGACATACAAATTAGTACCAACAATCAATACGAAACTAACGATTTTAAATTGGCTCACTACTTGAGTAGCCTATTGGTCCCAAGCAAACGATTAACGTACCTCATTCTAGTTGAAATTCTACTACTACACAATGTTTGTTTTGATTTGCTATGAAAGTTTGACAGATAAAATGAGGGGTTATTGGATTTTCCTATGTTTCGAGGGGTGAATCGATTAGCTTGGGACCGAAGAGAGTACCAGAGCTGAGCCAAAAAGTTGATCACGTTTCTTCGCGACCTTCTGGTCTTAGAGTTACCTCTATGTTAGTACCGTTGTACCAACAATCAATACGAAACTAACGATTTTAAATTGGCTCACCACTTTAGTAGCCTATTGGTCCCAAGCAAACGATTAACGTACCCTATTCTAGTTGAAATTCTATTACTACACTATGTTTGTTTTGATTCGCTATGAAAGTTTGACAGATAACATCAGGGGTGTGTGGATTCATGCATAACATGCAGGGGTGAGTGAAATAGCTTGGGACTGCTTGGGACCGTTGTTCTGGTACTGAGTGAGCCAAAAATAATAATGATTTTCTTCGGGACCCAGTGGTCTTAGAGTTACCTCTATGGTTGTACTTCTTTAATCCAGTACCTCAAAACGTACAATTTGTGGTACTAGCTTAAAGCAGTACAACCATAGAGGTAACTCTAAGACCACTGGGTCCCGAAGAAAATCATTATTGTTTTTGGCTCACTCAGTACCAGAACAACGGTCCCAAGCAGTCCCAAGCTATTTCACTCACCCCTGCATGTTCTGCATGAATCCACACACCCCTGATGTTATCTGTCAAACTTTCATAGCGAATCAAAACAAACATAGTGTAGTAATAGAATTTCAACTAGAATGGGGTACGCCATAGAAGTACTTGGGACCAATAGGCTGCTCAAGCAGTGAATCAATTTAAAATCGTTAGTTTCCACCCCCTGGTACAACGGTAGTACAACCACAAACGAAGTGACAGACGGAGCGGCTCGAAAACTTTGGTGACTAACCTGCTATTGCAATTTTTCAGTGTACCACATGGCAACACCACTACTACTGGATTGAACCACATGGCAACACTACTACCATAGAGGTAACTCTAAGACCACTGGGTACCGAAGAAAATCATTATTATTTTTGGCTCACTCAGTACCAGAACAACGGTCCCAAGCAGTCCCAAGCTATTTCACTCACCCCTGATGTTATCTGTCAAACTTGCATAGCGAATCAAAACAAACATAGTGTAGTAATAGAATTTCAACTAGAATAGGGTACGTTAATCGTTTGCTTGGGACCAATAGGCTACTAAAGTGGTGAGCCAATTTAAAATCGTTAGTTTCGTATTGATTGTTGCTACTACTGGATTGAACTAGCATTTTCACCAAATGTACTAGAATGCTTTGGTTCTATCTCTTTCACTCTACTCAAAACTGAAATGCATAAAAAATGACAAAATGATACGCACTCTTTGCACACTGTCAAAGAATCATTGTACACAAAATCAACTTTGTTCAAATCAAAACAAAAAAATTAACCCATCTGGTGGATGATGGCATAAGCTTCCAAGAAAATTCTATTACAGTGAACCACATTATTTAAATTGATTTCTTCGCCAGTTAGTCGTCTGTCACTTAGTTTGTGGTACAACAGTGAACTTTGTATGTCTGTACAAGGCGAGGTACAAGCATAGAGGTAACTCTAAGACCACTGGGTCCCGAAGAAAATCATTATTATTTTTGGCTCACTCAGTACCAGAACAATGGTCCCAAGCAGTCCCATGCTATTTCACTCACCCCTGCATGTTCTGCATGAATCCACACACCCCTGATGTTATCTGTCAAACTTTCATAGCGAATCAAAACAAACATAGTGTAGTAATAGAATTTCAACTAGAATAGGGTACGTTAATCATTTGCTTGGGACCAATAGGCTACTAAAGTGGTGAGCCAATTTAAAATCGTTAGTTTCGTATTGATTGTTGGTACAAGGGTTAACTCGATTTGTTTACATTTGTTACATTGGTCTATTTGAAAAGTGACGCGAGATTTCTACTTTGAACAAACCGAGTGCTGTCAGTTGAAAAAGACAGCATTTTTACGCACTCACACATGCACTGCATACGAGCGAGAAACGTCACATTTCATTCATAAAAAAAAAACGAAAAAAAAAATCATTCGTGATTATCGCGTTTGTTCGCGCTGCAGAAGTTTGATTCTTTCTCTGTCCGTGTTTTTTTGGAATATTCAGGTGAAAAATTCGTGTAGACGGCCCAGAGTCCGCGAATTTTCCAGGACTGCATTTTGGAACAGCTAGCTGAGATATTTTTGTTGAAATCAATACGTGTGTCTAATAAGTAATCATAAAACACGGTGATTGATTTCCGGAAAAAACAAAGCTGCTTTGCGTGGGGTGTGTCCATTTGTGTTTGCTATCTATCATCGATTAGTCATCGTCGTTCCGTCGCAGCCTTCTGAACAATGACCGAGCGTCACACTTTCGGGGGTACTATAAGCCCAATAACATGTCATGCCTGGAACAAGGATCGCAGCCGTAAGTCGAATGGAAAATTATTGGTTGGATAAATTAGAAAATTGGTTTTCTATTTTACAGAAATTGCCATCTCTCCGAACAACAATGAAGTGCACATCTACAAACGGGAAGGATCCGAGTGGAAACTGGGGGATGTGTTGAATCAGCATGATCTTCGTGTCATGGGTATCGACTGGGCTCCGAACACCAATCGTATCGTTACATGTGCCGTCGATAGGAACGCCTACGTTTGGACCCAGGGAGATGATGGAAAGTGGAAACCCACCTTGGTTCTATTGAGAATCAACCGGGCTGCGACCTGCGTTCGTTGGTCTCCTCTGGAGAATAAGTTTGCTGTTGGTTCGGGTGCCCGATTGATTTCGGTGTGCTACTTTGAATCGGAGAACGACTGGTGGGTTTCCAAGCATATCAAGAAGCCCATCCGTTCGACGGTGACCTCACTGGATTGGCATCCGAACAATGTACTGCTGGTGGCGGGTTCGACCGATTACAAGGTGCGGGTGTTCTCAGCTTATATCAAGGATATCGAGCAACATCCGGAACCGACGGCTTGGGGTCCGAAGAAGCCACTGGGGCAAATGTTGGCTGAATTCAAGAATTCCACTACCGGAGGAGGGTGGGTTCATAGTGTCAGCTTCTCTGCCGATGGCAATCGTGTTTGCTGGGTTGGTCATGACAGTGCAATTAGCATTGCAGAAGCCAACAGCGGAAACGTTGCAATCAAGCTCAAGACGGAGTATCTTCCGTTCCTTTGCTGCGAGTGGATTTCACCGCAATCGATTTTGGTTACCGGTCACAGTTGTGTGCCGCTAATCTACACCTTCGACGGTAGCCGCATCGTGCTGGCAGCCAAGTTGGATCTATCCACGAAGAAAGAGCAAAGTGGTATCTCAGCTATGAGGATCTTCCAGTCGTTGGATCGCAACTCCCGTACCGAGAACTCCGACACCAATCTGGAGTCGATCCACCAGAATGCAATCACCTGTGTGTGCATCTATTCCGGAGATAAGGGTAACGCCGCACGGATCAGCACCTCCGGTTTGGATGGCCAACTGGTCATTTGGGACATCAACACCCTGACCCGCTCGATGCAGGGTCTGCGGATCTAAAGGCGGACGGGCTAATAAAGGGAAGCAGTATTCACCGGTCAAAAAGGTAAGCACGAATGTTTTGCATTCTTGTGGCAGTTCTTATTTGGATTATTCGCTGCGAAGTTAGTGAGTGATCTATTCTGCAATGCATTTAGTCGATCAGTTTGTATGGACAAAGCTCTTCTAGCCGGTAAAGCATGCCAATAAATTCCAGTCTTTACACTCGAACTTTTACGGGACTGGAGGATTGTTTAGAACACAAAAGAAATTCCAAGGTTTGGACGTTCGCCGACTGCTGCATTGTTTTCACGTCGGGAAGTATGTGTCCACCGGGGTTTGAGTGGATTTCGTTCGTTTTTCTGTTTGGTATTGTCAGAAAGCAAATAATTGTACCTAATTAAGATATAAGAGTTCACGGTACTCGGACTCTTGCATGATTTAAATAGAAGATACAACATTGGATATATTTTATTCTTCATTCCGTGGTACATAAAGTTCTACTAATTTTCCGTTAGCCCACATATACAGTCATACCTATCACTATCCAATGATCTCAGTTTGAGGTCGACCAGCAGTGGTTGTTTAGATTTAGACAGCTTAAAAAACAAACGAAATAGATTCAATATAGGGCTTATAGCAATTTAATCTATTCCATATTGAAGAAATTTATCTAGATGCAATTTTTGTTCCATGCCGTTATTTAATTAGTTACTGAAGCTTTCATAAGTTTTTAGAATCCCGTTCTATTTTATTCATTCCAGATCATTTGGTTCAGGTAATCTTTCATAAAATTACGAATCTCCAATATTGTAAAGGCGTCGGTTTAAACGTTTCATTGTAATTTCAGGATTGTGGAGAATATTGCTGATCTTGGGCTCCAAGAATACTCTCTCACATAAGGTAGAAAATTGCTGTGTTTGCACTGCAGATAAAATATAGTAGGAAATGTACTCAATTCGTCTCATTACTAAGTGTTTTTCTTTATTAAAGAGATTTTAGCCTTGGGTTAGTTCGTCTCTGGGAATCTTAAATGGGGATTCCCCTATTTGGGGGAATTCCAGAGGGAAATTACCCTACCAACATAGTTTGGATCCCAGAGGGGATTTCCAAAAAGGGCGTGGGGCCCCAGAAACAGAGTTTTTAGCTGCGGAGTTTTTAATTTGGTGGCCTTGGAAGAAAACCTCTGAATAGAGGGTGGGGCTCCAAAAGGGGTCCCTTAGTTGCTTAGTGGCTGTCTTAATACTGTCATTTTGTTGGAGAATTCCGTTTTTGTTGCGTTGGTCTGTATAGTTGCTGATCTGGCTGGTTAGTTGTGAGATTCAGGTTCCGAGTGTGATCTGGTATGGTGGTGATGGTGAGTTAGGCGATCAGATTAAATCGAACAGCCCACCTTCCAGCAGGAAAGCTAGAAGGGCTGTAATTCTGGTAGGATCGTTACCGAAAGCACCGCGGATGCTTCCCGGGATGTCGTAGCGGGTTATTGGTGCTTCGTATTTCGAACAGTGGCAGATAATGTGATCTACCGTTTGTGGAATTCTGCATAGATCCTATGGAATGGCCCGTTTCTCTTGTAGTTATGGGAGATGTTTGTATGATGTGTTCGAAGTCGGGATACTATGACCTGCTCTTGATGTAACGGTGGGTCCGGTTTTAATTTTTCTGATGGCACGGGGCGAGCCCAACCTTCGTTGGTGATTTTTGATACCCATTTTTTGAGGTCCGGACCAGGTACATTTCGCGTGTACTTGGCCATGCAACGACCTGAGTTGGCTAGTTGGTCCACTTTTACGTTACCATGGACCCCGCAGTGTCCAGGTATCCACACAAAGACTGTGTTGTTTGGCGCGAGTTCCTGTATCGCCTGGATCCAAGGGTGTTTGCTCGTATCGGATTCCAGTGCGGCTACCACACTAGCGGAGATGGCTATTGGTTGGTCGTCGGGAATGGTGGCTTCAATGAAGGCTGCAATGGCTTCCGCAGGGAAAATGGAGCACTGATCCGGGAGTCTATGGCGCTCCGCGAGGTTTATGCCGAAAATCCCGATTCCTACCTTTCCCTGGGCTACCGAACCATCCGAGTACCGAATGGTGTACCCTCCGTATTTCCGGTTCTGGAGTTCGAGTACCGCTTGTGCCACCGCTGAAGGATTGGCACCAGCTCTGAATTGGTGTTTGATTGTGTGGTCGGTCAGAATCTTCGCCTTGTTCCAACCCCTCGCTCCGACCCAGTAAACCTTGGATATTGAGGGGAGAGTCGTGTTGGATGCTTCCCTGAGTGAATTGTTCGGGAATCTTCCTCGTCGTCTCCTCATGTCTGCTGGTAAAGTCCGATGGCTCGTTGGCAGATAGTTTTGGAGATGAAGCGATCAAAGGGGAGCAGTCCTCCTTCGATGCAAGCAGCTATTCCGGGGGTACCTGGCAAAAGACCCGAACAGATTCGGAGAGATTGTTAATAGACCGGCGCTAGCTTTTTGATCAATCGGAATTGGGTTTTTTTAATGCAGACTTGTCGTTTTATCGGACAGATATGGGTAAATCCGCTCTTAGTAGCGGACAGCTGGAAGCCGACCGACGTGGTCCATGTCGATACGTAGCTTGTCGCCGCCTTTAGCTACTTTCTTCTCCGGTTAGGGAGAGTCTTTCGCTTTTAGGTCAGACACTGTTTCTCGATTCTAGGAGCTACTTTTTTCCCCGGTTAAGGAGAGAAGTTTTCACTTCTAGGCCGAAAGTTCTTTCGGATTCAAAAAAGAGAAGAATCTGGAGTAACCTATGAAACTTAATTTTATTCAACAAAATTGTACAAAGTGATCTTACAGCTACGTGTTGCATTAGCAACTTATAATTATGTAAAACTTTTACTTGGTTCGTCCAGGGTTTTACATATCCCTTTCAATACCGGACTTTTGACCTAATTTTGCCTATTCTATTAGCTAGGATTTCGATCGCCCTTGAAAGGGTAAATTTGTGTTATTTGGATCTTATATACTATGCCCTCTCAGATCTGGGATTTCTCGGGTTATCTTGTAAGTTTATTTCTTTTTGTAACTCAGATCTGATATGGCTCTACAAATAAGAATGAGACATTTGTAACGTTTAAACATTATAATTATATCCTTCGTTAAGGATAAACAGAGAGGGAAAGCTAAACGTAACCTAGATGCGCAAGCATGCCATGCGTGGGCGTGTTTATCCTACTTGAACGCAGAAACGTTCCTAAGTAAATACTGCAGTTAGATTATGTAAAACGAGCTCTCGCTCCTTTTGCCCTACTTTTCATTTCATATTCTTGGCCTTGGTATCAACGTCAGCTAGGGCTATGCAAACGGGATGCAACTATGTGGTTATCTTATGGTTTTGGTTTTAAATTAATTGCCTCGCGGTAACATTCCGGAGCCCGTAAATCCTTCTAGGTTTACTTATATATGATCGTTATTCCGCGAGTGTTTCGTCATTTACTTTGTGTATCATTCCCACAAAGCAATCTTTTTTAATGATAGTTTCAACATCTTGGTGTTTCAACACCCGTTTTGATGCTACTTGTTCTTTTTTATTGTCTTCATTTGAAGAAGCTTCTCCTGGCGGCTCAACATCCATAATAGCCAATTTAACTACTGGTCGAGTGTATTCTCCAGAGGCTGTTTTCACAACAGCCGATCTTACCTGACCATCCTTGCCTACATGTGTTTTCAAAACAACTCCCTTTTTCCACTTTGCCTTTTGATCATCTTCAGCAATCATAACGATGTCTCCTTCCTTTACATTTTTCACAGCTTCCGACCATTTTGATCTTTTGGCTAATGAAGGAAGGTATTCGTGTAACCACCTATCCCAGTAAGTTTTAGCCATAGACTGCACTTTCTTCCATTGTTGTCTAGTGGCCTCTGCCTTCGACACATCATTCAATGATGGTTCGGCACCGCCGGCACAACCAATTAGGAAGTGGTTTGGAGTGAGTGGTTCGTCATCCGTGGCATCTAAAGATATTTTCGTCAAAGGTCTACTATTTATTATATTTTCGATTTCTGTTAATAACGCACGGAATGTGTGTTCTGGCATAGTTTGATTTGGTAAAAGACTTTTAACTTCTTGAACCAATCTTTCCCATGCTCCACCAAAGTGTTGAGATGATGGAGGGTTGAAATGCCATTCAATTCCTCTTGACGCAAGTCTGTGCTGAATCTTTTTTAGTTCATTGTCAGCTCCTACAAAATTAGTACCGTTGTCGCTATAAAGGAATTTTATTCTGCCTCGTCTGTTCTGCACTGAGTTCAAGCATAATAAGAATGCATCTGCAGACAGATCATGGGCTATTTCAAGATATACTGCCCTTGTTGTCATACATGTAAACAATGCTCCCCATCGTTTTTCTGTTCTCCGTCCGATGGACACATTGTACGGCCCAAAGTAATCTACTCCGGTATGGGTGAATGGTTTCACGAACGGTTGCAATCGACACTCAGGTAGAGGTGCCATTTTAGGGGTATTTATCTTCGCATTTTCATTTTTACAATGTTGACATTTTTTTATTGTCCTCTTCATTCCAGCATCTATTTGGATAACATGATATTTTTGTTGCACTGCTGCTATCGTAGCCTTCATTTTTTTATGTTTAAACTGTTCATGTTGATTTTTCAATATTAAATCAACTACATGATGCTTTGCTGGAAGTATGTAAGGATATCGAGCCGCATAAGGAACGCACTCTGCATCCTTATATCGTGTTTCTGATTTTATTGTACCATTTTGATCTAGGAATGGTGTTAGCGTTCGTATTTTGCTAGATTTGTCAACCGTCTGTTTAACATTGAGTTCCGTTAACTCATCTGGAAATGCATCCCATTGAGTTTTCAGAATCAGCAAAATTTCTGCCTTTTCCATATCAACAGCACTGATGGTCTTATCGAATCTCAATTCTTTGTTTGTTTTAGACCTAAGCCACTCTATATATTTTATTGTAATGCATACAGACCTTTTTAAACGGTCCCAATCCGAACACCATTTAACGTTCAGCCAATCTAAATTTGGTTTGCTTATGCTCTTTATTGAATGTACGGGACGTAATTCTTCATGACTTAAGTCTGAACTATGATTGTCCCCATTCACGGATGGCCAATGTTTCTCGTCCAGCTTCAAAAACGCGGGTCCTTCAATCCAAGACGATTTCGATTGCCTTACTTTAGTTCCTTCATCAGCCGGGTTTGCTGCTGAACTAATATATTTCCATTGTGA